TGCATGGCAGTACAGTGGTCCAACTTGTGAATCGAAGGAGACTGTATTTCCCATAGAAGCTTGTGAATCGAAGGAGACTGTATTGCCCATCGAAGCTGGTGGATCGAAGGGAGACTGCATTGCCCATTGAAGCTTGTGGATCGAAGGGAGGCTATTGCCCAATCGAAACATGCTTGCAGGTAGCAAACTTGTCCAATCGAAAGCAGGCTTGCAGGCGACAAATTTGTCCAATCAAAACAGGCTTGCAGGCAGTAAACTTTGTCTAATTGAAAGCAGGCTTGCAGGCAGCACTTGTCCAATCGAAAGTAGGCATACAGGAGGCAAAATGTCCAGATTCGAAAAAGGCCAAGAGTCAGTCGAAGGGTATTGAATCGAAGGAGACCTGTTTTCCTCCAAACTTGTCAAAATCATATTTTATTTGTTTTGCTCTTTCAATAGTTTCCTCTTTGACTTGATGCTTGAAAATCCAATATGATCCAATTGTACTTGGGCAGACTTAAACCCTGAGAATTCTTGTGAGAAAGGCCTAATGCCCTGAGCTTTGAACCACCCTTGTAACATGATGACAAAATTCATTCCACAACCTACTAATCAAGAACCAGATGTGCTTCCTTTTTACCTGATAAGAAAAACCTCAAAACAAGATTAGACCAAAAGAGGACGTAGCCCTAATACTTCAAACCAAAGTGCCTGATTCCCTGAGATGCGGGATATGCAAATGACTGAATGATGAAATGATGCAAATGGAATGCATAGTTTAAAGCCAGACAAGAATAAAAGAGATAGGGAAAATTTGGGGTACGACAAAAGGTATTTCATTTCATGATGTAGGTTTATCTTCAAGAGACATACTCAATAACGTCGAAGAAAGAATTGATCAACCCGAATCGATGAAACATGAGTAGGAGAAATATAACTAACATGGAAAGGATAAATAATGAGAGTTTAATCAAAATGAATGATCATCAAATTACTGGCCTTCTTGGACTCATCACAAGTTATACTTATGGGTACTTTTTCAAAGTGAAAAGTGGTAAGATTATTTTGTTCTAAAATCTTTGTAGCATACTTTGCATTTGGTTCAACTTTATTTCGAGAGTCCCATGTGAAATGCAAGTGCATCCTCTGTCATATTGTACGATGAGGTAGTATCGATTTAGAATTCTCTTTGTTAGTAAGTTCTCTCTTTTACTTGTTTATTTCTCTAAATACATGACATACTTTATGTATGGTATACATATTATGAGTGTTCATTTTCAACATAATTCTTAATTGACAATTATAGTTAGTTACCAATTTATATACTGGAAATGAATTCATCATATTATATTTTCATGTATTTCTTGTAAACACTTATGTGTACATAAGCATGTTTAGATTCATTAAATATCAAGCATACCACATTTTACATTACATCATATTTGATTCTACTAACATGCGACTTGACAAATAATTCTCTAAGCTTATGCATGGAGTATTTAAAGTGAATCTTATGGGGAGTTGAATTACTCTCTCGAACTCCAAATAAAGTAACTCAAGGAAAGAACACGTGCATGGGGAATTACCTTCACAATCATGTTGAAAAAGGGGATGTTGTGTTCGGGCATCTTGATAATGAAAATCAACTTGCCGATGTTTTCACAAAAATGTTTGCAACCAAACCGTCTTTCAACAAACATATGGAATTGTGGAAATTAACGTTTCCAATGATGCCTTCTTTAGAATTATGCTTTCACTTTTATACATTTTCTCTAACAATTTGTTTTAGTATTTAAGTTATGTGAGTGCAACTTCCATTTCATCAAGATTGATGTAATATTGTTCCAAATTTCTTCTTGAAAAGAATATTTTCTTAGTACATATTTGGTTGATGAAAAATGTTTGTTATGTTCTCAAATGATGAAAACCAAGAATGTTCATTTCCAAAAAATTTGATTGATAACTGTTGTGTGTTCTCAATGTATATGCTTATAATCACTTCATGTATTAATTCTTTTACATTTGTATAAGTTTGTTCTGGTATTTACAAGTATGTGTTCCTATTATTATTTCATGCGTTTGTGTATGAGTTGAATGTGAGCATGTTAATTTCATGTGTGATTCACGTTGTATTTGAGTCACATTTTATGGAAACATTTTCATTTTGTATTGAGTAGTGACATGTTCTTGTCCCTATGCTAGGCACATGCGTGTGCGACTTCAGGAGTTCCATTGTGTTGTGTTACGAAATTGTGACGCTATAAAAGCAACTTAACTAGCTTGCTCTTGCATCACATTCATTATTATTCATGCAATGGCATTACATGTTTGGTAATTTTTTATGCTTATTATCTATTATTATTTTTGCATCATTACATATATATAGGGATATGTAATTGTATGCTCTTCTTTTCAAAAATTGATTTGTGTAATATATTAGTATTGGTATTGGAATATGATACTTCTCACAATTTGCCTTCTTACTTTTTGATGTTTTCAAAGGGGGAGAAGAATATGAGAGATGAAGATGGGAATCACAAAGTCAAGGGGGTGGTGGATAAAGATAACTACAAAATGCATCATCACCAGTTTTGACATCATCAAAAGGGGGAGTTTGTGAGTGCAACTTCACTATTAGATGTTGTGTATGATGTCATAACTCAGAAAGCTTTGCATTTCAGTATGGCATGTCATACCCCAAATTTTCCTTACCTCTTTTTCTTTTGGTTGGCTTAAACTTTGCATCCCATTTTCATCATTTTCTCTAAGTTATTTGCATAGCACGCATCTCAGGAAATCAAGCACTTTGGCTCAAAATATTGGGTTTGTGTGATCCTTATATTTAACTTTGTTTTGAGGTTTTCTTTATCAGGTAAAAGGAAAATCCATCTGGTTCTCGATTAGTGGATTGTTGAATGAAGTTTTGAGGTATCATAGATTTCTTTCTCACCAAGTTATAAGGTTGTTTCTCACTCGAATTCCTCTGAGCCTGGATTAGGGTTTATTTCTTTATTATTTGCCAAGATGTTAGGGTTTTGGATCCCTGATTTTTTGTGAAATGTTTCTTTCGCCTACCTCAAAGATAACTCAAATTCAAGTACATTTGGTTAGGGATTTCACCTCCTCACACTTCAAGTTTTCTTCTTAAGATCTCTCAGTCACCGAGTCAAGAGTTTGAAGTTTAAATGGATAAAAGTGGAACCCAGGCATAAGAAATAAGGTTGAAGGTTCATGATGTTCAAGGCATGTCTTTTTTGCTTAAGTTATAAGCTACTTGTGGTTCAAATATCCAAGTTAAAGTTTTTGTTGAGAGTGCAAGTTTGGTTTAGACGTGATATGAAGATTGAGGATTGAAAGATAAGGCGCATGGTTACTTGAAATACAAGATACAAAGGTCATGTGTGATTTCTTAAAGTTCAAGTTACAGAGTGAGGTGTATCATTCAAACCATTCAAGTGGGAATTTCTATTTTCAATCAAAATTCAAGAGTTTGTTTGATTTCCATACAATAAATTCATCATTCATAAAATTCACTAAAGTTTTGAGTTCAACTTACATTTTTGGACCATTTACAAAAGGGATTACAATGCGAAATACAAGTTGAATCACAAGTTACAATTGTTTGCTTACAAAAAGAAAGAAAGAAATGATTCTTCTTCAAGTCTCTTTGCTTTGTCTCCAAGTAACTCGTCCTCCTTTCCCGCCGTGACTTTCTTCATCTTTCAACCTCGCTTTGGTCGTCCAATCCTTATGTTTATGAAATAGGAAGAAGGAAAAAGTTAGCAAATAATCAACATGTGAAAATTCCAAGCAAGAATTAATGGTTAAAATAAATTTGTATCTCATCATTAGGATTTTCACTTGGAATCATAAATTTAAAAAGGGTTTTGTTTCAATTATAGTTTATCTCCTCCTATTTTTCAAATCACAAAACTTGGATTTCGGTTCACAAAAGGAAAAGAGGTTTGCAAATGTTTTCTTACTGCAAAAACCAGCCAAAAAAGCAAATATACGCAATGCAACCCACTACAAACAGCAGCCCAAAAACAAATACATACAAGCAAAACTGCAATAACTGCCAAGATAGAGAAGTTGCAAGAAACAGCAGCAATGCAGCAAAGCTACGAGCCAAAAGCGTGGCAAAACAAGGCGAAACAAGCAAAACTGCCAAAGGCAGCAAAACAATTTACACAACAGACAACAACAAAATAGCAACCCAGGCAGTAGACTACTAAAGTCACAAAACAAAGCAACAAATCTACAACAAATCAAGCCAAGGAAACAACAAAAGATCCAAAACACAAAACAACAGTGCAAGCTAGCACTAGCTCACATAGCCCTATATATCATCATTTTCCTAAATATTTCAAATCCTTCAGAAATTTCAAAAATAAAAATACTTTGCATCATTGAAAGATAAAGATGAAAAGAGACATGTTTAGAGAGATATCACCTATTCCAAAACAGTCCAAACAAACCAACAAAAACCATATAGAACAATCTCCCAGAAAATATCAGGAACATCTCCACAACCCACCTTTCAACAACTCCTCTAAAACTCACAATCAACTCCATTAATTATTCATCCACCCCAACATCCGTCTCTCTATTTCCACTGGGAACAACCCCTTCATTGTTTTTACTCGCAAGCCACAATCATTGTACTCATCATTTCCTTCATACGCGACAACTCCCTTGAATTAAACCCCAGCTCAACCATCATCGTTCTTCAATCCAGAAGTTGAATCATCCATCAATCTCCATGCTAGCATCTCTGTAACAACCACCACAAACAAGTTTACACAATAGATCCAGATTCACGAAATAGAAGATGAAGAAGTGAGTTGAGAAGCAAAATCAACGCAAATAAAGTTCAAGCTCCATACCTGAATCACGTCTGAAGCGCTGTTGGACCTACTACGACATGTAAGTATTATTTCTTCTCTCATCATTTTTTCTCCGCATATTCCATTATTGTTGTGCTTTGAATCATGATTGTAGCTTAAAATGGAGGTTAGAAATCACAGTTTAAACGGAGATTGAGAAGAATTTGACAGAGCTTCAAATCGCAAGGACAAGTGAGGCGGAGGGAGTATTGTTGGTTTCAGTTGATGAAAATTCAGAACAAAGAAGAGAGATCGGTTATAAGAGTGGGATATGAACTGCGATTTAATTCGCAGAGGAGAACGAAGTTCAGTATGGATGTATGTTGTGGGAAAAGGTGATGCTGAGAAACGCCGAGAGATAAGATGAGAGGAAGCTGTGAGAGGAAGGTTGAGATTAAGGAAGAAGAGGAACATAGAAAAGGATGAAAGCAGGGGTTCTGGACCAAAATTAGGGTTTCCCAATCCATTTGTTTTTTTTTCAAGGGGGCCGCTGGGTCCTGACCACACTGACCCGGTCGGGCCCAACATGTTTTGTTGGGGGTATATTTTTTAGTTTTTTTTAGTTTTTGCTTCTTAAATCCTTTTTGAATGATTTCTGGGCTTTACAAAACTGATTTTTTTCCAGCCCAGTCTAGAAATGTTAGTTGTACACACCACCACTTTAGTCTAGATACCCCATCCTTGTTGTCTATTTTAATTTAACAAATTTCTTGGTTTAGTTAACTTAATATTTAGTTTAATTTTAAGTATAATCCAAAATACCACTTAATAAAAATAATAAACATTAGGTTAATTGAAATAATAAATATCTTAGAATTAGTTTATTAACCTTCTTTTAATATTTACTTTAAAATAAAAATTCAAAAAATAGATTACTTCTTTTATAATTTAGTAAACTAAATTTTTCTTTTGAATAGTCGTTTAGGATAGTTAATTTTGTAGATAATGTACTTAGTTTATTTGTTAATTTTCAATTTGGTTGTATTGTTTGTTTAATTGGATTCTTAATCGAACATTCAATTTGATTCATCACCATTCATAAAAACTTGTACCCCCATCCTCATATGGTCTGTAATAATTTAGAGTTTTGTTCTTTTTCTATTTTTCTCTATACGTTTAAATTGCTAATCATTCATATTTTGTCCAAAGTAGAATACTTGGCCTCCTCTTGGGCTCATCATCAATGAACAGGTATCCACCGACAAAATGGACACCCGCACACATTTCTTAGTTTGGTCCTGGGCTATTCTATAATGACAACTATTCGATTGATTGTTTCAATTGGTCGTTTAGAATACTAGCGCCACACTAGTCCCACTTTTTAGGAGAATGCATATAGCCACCTTGTATGGTCTTTTTATCTTATCCATTGAAGCAATTTCTCTGCCCTTGGTATACATGCCAAGCATCTTCTTAAAGGGTCTCATCGTTGAGTTTGGGCATGACCATTCTCACGAGGTTAATCAAATTTTGTCCTTGGTTAACCATAACCCGAATCAATCACTTTGGTTCATATACCAAGTGTCTCCATGCACAAAGGGTCTCATGGTTGAGGGTAGGAGCACCTAATCTCATGATATTAATCAAGTACACCCCTTGGTTAATCAAAACCCGATTCAATTCCTATACCCCAAGCATTTCATTTACATCTCTCATAATACTACTCATTTCGTCATCACTCTTGCCATGATCACCATGCACGATCACTCTTCACTAACACCGTCTCATTCTACTTATAACATGATCCCTTAGGATGTTAGTTTCCTCTTCTTTAGGATACGGACTAATTAGACCTTAGAATGAAACCCATGCATGACAACATAAGGCTTTTCCATTCTCCCCCTTTATCCTTTTTCTTCTTTTGTAATTAAAACTTATCATCCACAAATCAAAAATCCAAAAACACTTAATCATTACTTGAATTTATTTTAAAATTCGCAAAAACACTCAACAAATCAAAACTTCTCACTAAGGGAAAGTTATCTCCGTTCTACCGCGATACCGACGGTTCCTATTGCTAGAATGCGTGCGTTAACGTCGCCACTGAAAAAAACACCAACAAACCAACCATATTCTAGAGGAACTATGGTATTCTAATTCCTTCACGGGATACGTAGGCAAAGGGTCGCGAAACCCTCACGAACGCATTAATAAAAAACCATTTATTTCTCCTTAAGCAAGTATAGTTGTAGATAAACACACCCTTAGAGACAAACAAACAAAATGGATTCTATTGAGTACAACAGATGTGAGGGGTGCTAATACCTTCCCCTCGCATAGCCGACTCCCTTACCCTTTCTTTTGGTCGCAATACCATCTTATCCATCCTCTTGTGGTTTTATCGATATTTCCCCTTCTTTCGGGATAAGTAAAGTTCAGTGGCAGCTCTGTGTTTTCTGCCGGTAGCTTCATGATGGACGGTATCCTTATGTCTTGTGACACTCCTCTGCATTATAGGTATTAGGAATCATCAAAACATACTTTGAAATAGACCCAACACATTGAAAAATAGTTTCTATATGTTTTTTCATTGCATGTGTCGACACATTCGGTTTTTTAGGTCGACACATGTAACTCAATTTTTAAGCCAGTAAGCTTCTGTAAGTCACATGTCGACACATACAACCTTCAGGTCAACACATACTGAATGATTTCTGAAATTGCAGAAATTCTTATTTTATGTGTCAACACATCCATATTTCAGGTCAACACGTTTACTCATGTTTTAAAGCCTATAACTTCTGACTTATTCAGGTCGACACATAGAGTCCTTCAGGTCGACACATGCATTCTTTTTATAACATATGTGTCAACACATACAAATTTGAGGTCGACACATAAAGTCTGTTTGGATCAAATTTTCAATTTCTTTTATTTCGAATTTGTTCTTTTTGGCCTAAATGTTTCCAACTATAGATATATCATTCATTCATCATTCTGACTTGATGATACCATAAATTAGCCTACATTTCCTCTTCTTCTTCAACCTTCCAATCTAGGCATACACACCAACATTACATCGTGATGATGTTTAGTCGGGGTTCCATCTAGACAAAGATTTATTGATTTCTTATTGCTTTGGGTTGAGATTTGTAGGGGTCTTCATCCAAGAAAATCCATCGGGTTTGTCCTCTAAAATTATTTGTTGAATTGGGGGTTTTCTTACATTATCGTGCAAGAAGTAATTGTCCATGTGAAATATCCCTTGGAGTGTTTGAAATCATTTAAAGGAACCTTAGAGTGTTTGAAATATTTATAAGGAAGTATCAAGAATTCGACATAGATTCGGTGATCTTGTGTTCATAGTGTGCAATCCGATTTACTCGAGTGAAAAATCCTATGGAGTGTTTGAAATCTTTGCAAGGTACCTTGGAGTGTTTGAAATCTTTTCAAGGAAGTAACTTAAGCGGCGGATAGTTTGCATCTATCAGTATTAGTCTTGTTGAAGATCAAAAGAAGAGAAAGGTTTGAATCAACATCTAACGATTATAATTTTTAGTATTGCTCTTGAACACTTCTCTTGTAACCATACTTTTGCAAGGCAAGAAATTATCCTAATTCCAAATTTGGAATTGGGGGGATATGTAGCCATAGCGAGGATGATTGGGGAACTTCCTAAAAAAATCCTTGTGTCTCTTTTATTTTATGTCTTTTACTTGCTTTGATATTTTTCAATAATTTTGACAAATAGCATTGAGTAATTTATCGACGCGTAGGAATTTTCTGAAACTGTTTTTATTTTGAATTATGTCTTGGGTTTCTTATAATAATTTTTTATTATAAGTGCTTTTTCATATGAATACAACATAAAGGAAAATTATGAAACTTTGATTGCACGCCGAGTGTTTAACAAATTGTTTAGTTTGTTTGATTCAAAGGAAAATTGCAATGTTCTATCTCTTACTTTCATTTACTCTTTATATGCAATGTGTTGGGTGTGTTATTTGATCGATTGATTTATATATAATTTCTCTTTTATTATTAATGTTTAATTTGCTTTGTGGATTAACTTATAATCACTTTGATTTTAAGTGCTTTTTCATATCAGAAAATCTCAAAGAAAATTTTGAAAAATTGATTGCGCGCCACATGTTCGATAAATTGTCATGTTATGTTTTTTAATAAGATTTCATTGGAAATAGGAAACCGTTGTGTTGAATATTAAATGGTTAATTGAGATATTATTATGTTGATTAATTTTATCATTATGTTAATTTCATATGGCTCGTGCATATCCGAGTTTCCAATAACTAGGTTCGTTTAGACTACTACATTGATCGAGGCCAAAATCCTTCCGCTTAACATTGTTTTTCAAATAAGTTTTAAATAATATTTTTGAAAGTTAAATTTGATTTTGGAAACTATTCACCCACCCCTTCTAGATCCAGTGTTGTAGTCTAACAAGTGGTATCGGAGCCTGGTTATTTCCATGCTTCGAAAGTCTTATTAGAAAATGGCGTACGAACTTAAAGGGATTTACAAAACAGCCCCCAAAAAAATTTCCGGAATAAAACTATAGTTATTGGAAAGCTTGTATCCACATTCATGTTAATTCATATGACAGGGATATGTGTGAAACTGTTACTCAAAACAATGCTAATGGTTTTGTCACATCTAAGCAGGAACCACTATGGAATAATAATGATAAGAAAAATTCATTAAATCTCATCAATTGTTTGAATGCACTTGGTAATATTATTTCCAATGAAATTTCTATTAACAAAGGTCTGAGATGTCTTACTAGGAATTGGCAACCAAAAGTCACCGCGACCAAGGTAGTTAATGATCTTACCACACATGATATGACTACATTGTTTGGTAAGCTTGAAGAACACGAGAAAGAACTTACTTGCTTAGACAAGCATGAGAAAAAGATTGAGAAGAAAAATAAAAAGGAGAAAGACACGAATAAGGAGGAAAGAACAAATTCTAAAGCTCTTAGGACGTCAAGTTCAAGGTCCTCAAATTGTTATCACGTAATTCGATATTGATTTTAGTGATGGTGAAGATTTAAATTGTCACTATGGTTGTATTGCCGAAATACAACCAATTGTTTCCCTAACCCCCAAGGACTCAATAAAGACTGAGTACCTAGCTTGTCTTGTTGTTTTTTAGGATCATTGTCATGACTCTATGAAGCGAATATGGGTTCTCATTTATTGTGGATCAAGGCATATGAACATATTCTAATTCAATTGAATATGGGGAAATATGATGGAGCATGTGATTCAGAAAGCAACAACAAGTTTTTGTGTTATTGGTAAAAGATGAGTAAGTTTCTTTTGATGTTATATCAGAGAATATTCGGAAAAGGTATTTCATTTCATGATGTAGGTTTATCTTCAAGAGACATACTCAATGATGCCGAAGAAGGAATTGATCAACCCGAATCGGTGAAACATGAGGAGGAGAAAGATAACTAACATGGAAAGGATAAATGATGATAATTCAATCAAAATGAATGATCATCAAATTAATGACCTCCCTGGAATCATCACAAGTTATACTTTTGGGTACTTTTTCAAAGT